AAGGCCAGCTCTCCCTGCCCCCCCGAGGCATGCCCCGCACATAGGCGAGCCTCAAATTCAAGCTTACCCGAGACCGCGCGTGCCCCACCCTCGGCTCCGCCCCCTCACTTGTAATTGGCTGGCAGGGACACCCGCCCCCGCACGCTGAGCCGCCGCTCCTCTCCCCGCCCCCTTCCTGCCCCCTTCTCTGAATGGCTGCTGTGCTCCCTTGGCCACGCCCCTCCCCGGTGTGCGGCCGCGCCCCCAAACGCTTTGCTCCTGCCGCGCCCCCCGTCGTGAGTAGCTGCTCCCCATCCTCGCCCCGCCCTTCCAGCGCACTTGTCGCTGTGATTGGCCGGTGCCACTCCTCGCCACGCCCCCTCCCACTCAGCTCTCCCCTCGCGGCGAGTGGCCGCGCCTGCCCCCGCCCCCGGCCCCGATTGGCCCGGCTGCCGGGTGGGCGGCGCGGGCTCCGACGGGAGCGGGCTCGGCGGCCGGGCCAGGGAGGGCGGGGGAGCGGCCGGGATGAGGGAGGCGGCAGCGGCAGCCGGAGCCGCGCGGAGTCGGCAGCACCATGGAGACGGGCGGAGGCGGCTTCCTCGGGGCGCTGCTGCTGCTGCCGCTGCTGCTGCCCGGGGCCGCCGCCGAGGAGGGTGAGTCCGGCCGGGGGGGCTAGGGTGCAGGGGGTCAGAGACACGGGCAGAGGGGCGCACAAGAGCTGTGTGGGGTGTGTTGGGGGTCCTGGGCAGGGGGGATGGGGCAGTGGGGGAGGGGGCTGGCAGGGGGGATGGGGCAGTGTGGGAAGGGGCTGGGTGGATGGGGCAGTGGGGGGATCCTGGGCAGGGGGGATGGGGCAGTGTGTGGGGGGGTGGATGGGGTGTGGGGGGGCAGTGTGGGAAGAGGCCGGGTGGATGGGGCAATGGGAGGGGGCTGGCAGGGTGGATGGGGCAGTGTGGGAGGGGGCTGGCAGGGTGGATGGGGCAGTGGGGGAAGGGGCCGGGTGGATGGGGCAATGGGAGGGGGCCTGGGCAGGGTGGATGGGGCAGGGTGGGAGGGGGCTGGCAGAGTGGATGGGGCAGTGTGGGAGGGGGCCGGGCAGGGTGGATGAGGCAATGGGAGGGGGCCTGGGCAGGGTGGATGGGGCAGTGGGGGGTTGGACAGTGGCAATGTGGAGGGGCGGTTGAGTAGGGGCAGCGTGCAGGCTGGGTGGGGAAGGGGCCTTGGGAGGAGGTAGGCATGTGACAGCGAGTATCTGTGTGGGCGGGAGGATTGATGGGGGGGGGGGAACATCTGGTTGTCATTGAGCCATGAACTGGGCACTGACAGGAACATCTTAAAGTTCCCTGTGCCCCACGTGGTTCCTCCCAGCCTCCCTAGGAGGGTCCTTTGCCAAAACAGGTGCCTTGAAGAGAGGGGAACAGTTTGGGGATGAGGAGATGGGGATGTGATGAATAAAGAGTTTCTGCCATCTGCATATAAATAGTGTTTCCAGCATGTTTATAAATAGTTGTTGTCATTGTAAATTGCATTTCCTGAGTGTCCCCTTCCCCTCAGCAGAAAGGACGGTAGCTGGGGGCTGGGATCAGGGGAGTGAAGTCTGCAGAAAGTCTTCCCTTCTGTGGGGAGTCTGTCCTGGACTCTGGTTGCTCACCCCTTCCCTCTAGTCTCGGTGCCTGGCCCCTTTCTATCTTGTGCCTGGAGATTCCTTGCACAGCTAATTCTCTTTGGCACTTGCAGCTTTACAAGGAGCCCCTGGTTCCTCATGCTAGTTTTGTCTGCTATGTGAAGAGAAAAGGCAGAATGGGGAAAAGCAAGCAGATTGCTCAAAAAGTCAACAGCTGGGAGGGTGCACATGTTTCCCAGTCTGCCTCCAAGATCCAAAACCTCCGCAGACTATTATTCTGGCTGTGTGAACTCCTCCTGGTTCATAATTTATGGGAGAATAGATCAGTATCTAGAGAAAACATATATAATGCGAAATCACGGTAGAGCTGTCAATTTGTGGTTGTAAAGACATGAATTTTTAGTATTGTATTTGTGCTATTGTGGGGACAATAGAACATGTGAAGGTAGGTGAGTTTCATTAGGCTGTGCAGTTATCATTCCTTTCTTAATTGACAGAATAACACCGAGAGAAGGTGGGTGAGGTAATACCTTTTATTTGACCGACTTCTATTGGTGAGAGAGACAAGGTTTTGAGCTTACACAGAGCTCTTCCTCAGGTCTGGTCTGAAGAACAGAATAACATCGAGGCAGCTTAGATATTCCCTACAGCCAGAGATCGGAAAAGATTACAGTGTAGTCTGGCCAAATCAGTGGATTTTCACTTCCTCTGGACCTATAAGTGTCTAATTTATCTGAGAGAAGTGTGTAGCTTAAAGATTTGGACAGCAGTTTTATGGTTTCCAGGACCAAAGAATCGAAAGTTTCCATCCTTGTCTGATTAATTCTTACTGTGTTTGCTGGGTTGTAATCCCATCATTTAAGGAGAGAGTAGAAGATGGACATCTGGTGATGTGAACAGTAGAGTCACTACTAACTCTAAATTCCAAGGCAGACTGGCTGACATTGTGGATAATCTGGTAAACTAAACCATGTAGATTGTATACCTTAGGCACAATTGTCATCCAGGTGAACTAACATGAGGTGCTGGTATAGAGCTTGTAATTAGTGCTGTAACCAATGCGTTCCTGTATTATTGGTGAATAATGCACTAAGTGAGAACATGATTATGATTTAGGCCCTATGTGATAAAAGTTCATAATTCAGGTAGCTAATGCAAATTCCCAATATGTTGTTGCTTGACTGGAGTTTTTTTCCTCTATGCTATGCACGTGTGTAGTTGGAAAACAGTTCTGCTTTTCTGTGGTATGCACAAATTAATTTAGAGTCCCAAAATTCTCCTGGTTACATGACTAGAATATTCTCTGGAATTGAAACTCTAGATTCAATTCCTTTTCCTTTCTTGAATTAATCCAGAGGAGATCCTGGTAATAAAGTCTGGTCAAGTGTAGTTTGTTTCGTCTTGAAATACTATTTGTGGCTGCTAACTTCCTGTATGTCTAGGTGCCACATGACTGCTGTTGCATTAACTGCATGACACTGCTTTGTTTTGTGTTGAAAAGTGTGAACTGCTGCTTCTGTTTCCATTGCCAGTGCAGTGTGGGTACTCTGGAGTCCTACACTTCGGAGCATCCTTCATTATGGGTTCCCTGGAAGCTACCTGACTTTTGGCTTACAAAAAATGCCCCATGGATATTGTGTGCGGGTCCCCATCTGGTCACTTACCCAAGTTTGTATTTATCTGTAGACAGACACACAAGCTTGCCAACACTGGCTACCTCCTCCAGACGTTGACTAGATTACCAAGAGCAATCCTACAGACAGTGGATCTCACTGGAACTCTGCTGAGAGACTGAGTGTGCCCACCTCTGGGATGGGACAGTATCTGATATAAATACACAACCCTGAGATTGGAAAGGAGGAAGGAAAGTGAACTCCTGTAGCTTGGGACTGTGCTTGTTGTACTAAATGTATCCTGAGGCTTCAGCCTTCTCTCTAATCCCTCTGCCCTTACCTCTTCCCTGTCACTGTCCACCTCAGCTGCTGCCCCTTCTTCATACTTTTAGGTCATGATGCTCCATATACCTGGAAAGACCCTCGCTCCCCCCATGCTCTTCATCACTGACCTCCCCTCCTGGATTGTCTTCTCCTCCTCCTAGCTCAGTCTCCGCTTCAAAGTTGTGAGCAGATCAGATTTGCTTACCTCAGTAAATAGTGATGATAATCCTTCCTTTCTCTTGTCTGCTTCGATGGTAAAGTCTTCAGGGCAGCGGCTGTCCCACTCTCCGCTTGTGCAGTGCCCCGCACAGCAGGGCCTCTTACCGCTATTGTAATACTAATAACTGGCGTATATTTTAAGCTTCTTACCTTCTCCCTGTATCTATCACTGCTGTGTTCTATGCTTATCTTCTTTAGAAAGAGAGCTCCTTGGGGCAGTGACCCTCTCTGGCAATCCCTGGAAAATGCTGGGCAAAGCTCTGATGCTGCATTAATGATTAACAATACAAATAACAGGATGCATGTTGAAGCTATATTGAAAAGTGTGGTTCTGTCGGTGCGGTGATCACCTGGAAATTCTTGCTGGCAAGTTCCCTTTCTTTACAGTTGGTTACACGGCAGCTCTCTGAACTTGCCCCCTGGAGGTGCTTAAAAATGTCCTACGAGGAAAACTCAGAGAGGCTGACTTTGTTCTAGTCTCGTGTCTCCCACCCCTCTGCCATCTTCCGGCTTTACTTTCACACTCAAAACCATTGAATTCAATCTGGCTGTAGCATATTGATCTGCTTTCTGCAATATTTTTCATTCAAATAAAGCAGGCAAATAAATGGCTAGGAGTTCATATGCTTTTTTCCAAATGAGCCCAGTGAAGCTTAATTGAACAGCCTTTGAATTTCTGAAGAGCTGTAGTTAAAATACACTAGGGGCACTAGTGTTGCTGACATTCCCATTCACACCGTGAAGATGGTGTTCAGTGTTGCACTGTGGTGTGAAGTGGCCCAAGCCCTAGAGGATGCTGAGTGTTGCAGTCAATGTTCTGTCTAGAAATGGCGTGGCAAGCTTGGTCTCTTTCCCCATTCTGCCTCTTGCTTTCTGATTACGTTGGACTCTGCTTTTCCCTTAACATAGAGCTTTGTGCTTTCCACTTGCATGGATTTAGTGATGGGTAGTGGTTTGATTTATCACTGATGGAATAGAGAGATCAATCCCACATGTGCTCGCTGCATTTACAAATTCCCATGGGGGAGAGGAGCCAGGACTCCTCTGAGTGTCTGCGCCATTCGCTTCACAGCAGAGGGCCTTAGCGTGGGAGGCTGGACAGTGAATCTAAGATCTGATGCTCTGGGCAAGATAACATCTAGGACTAAGTTATATGCAACCATTTGGATCCGAGAGCTGTTGCTTTTAAAGGCACGACCTAGTCCGCTGTGCAATAGTCTTCAGCCTGCTATTTATTCTGTGGCATTCAGATTTGGCTCAGAAATCTTGTGCAATCTGTGCCTATAGTGTGGTTTGCTTGAAAGGAAATGTTGAGTTCTCACTGTAAGAGCAGCCTGGGCTCTCCTGCCGTTGTAGGTGAAATACACTCCTTTTGTAACTAAGAAGCAGTGGGACTTTCACATGCAGGAGTTGAATCTAATCCTGGGCTATGTAGAAGTTTCTCAGACTGAGAAGCAGTCCCTACATTATTGAGAATGTTCCTGCATTGGGTTGCTCTATTTCTTCTAGGACCATAGAGGATAGAGTTGGCCACAACTTCTCTCGTTCAGTGGATGAAAACAAAGTTGAGCCCTGGTCTGACCCCCTTTCTGTTCTGTGCAGTAAACCCTGATCCTGGCTGCATGGTAGAATCTGCCCATGGTGAATTCTGGGGGAGGGAAGCTCCCTCTTTGAAGTTAAAAGGTTCCTGGTGGTTTCAGTGCATCACAATGTCTCTGTTATAGCCCTCTCTCTTTCCTCTTGCCCCTTTCACAATTCATCCATGCCCAAAATACTATATTAGTGCCCCAAATCTTACAGAGTGGTCCCTGCCACCATATCCTTCTGGGAGTGCGGTGGAAGCATCAAAGTCTGAACACCGGCCACCAAGAAA